AAAAAATTTACCAACAAAGAAAAGCCCAGGTCCTGATGGCTTCACTGCTGAAGTGTACAAGACATTTAAAGAAGAACTATTGCCATTACTCTTTAAACTCATCAAGGAAATTGAAAGGGAAGCACGGCTTCCAAATTCCTTCCTGGAAGCAAATGTTACTTTGATTCCAAAACCAGGGAAAGACCCAACCCAAAAAGAGAACTACAGACCAATCTCCCTAGTGAACATAGATTCTAAAATCCTCAAGAGGATACTAGCAAACAGAATACAGAGTGTCATCAAGAAGATCATACAACCTAAGTCGGATTTATCCCAGGGATGCAAGGATGGTTTAACATAAGTAAATGAATAAATGTAATACACTGTATTAACAGAGTCAAGGACAAAAACCATCTGATCATCTCAATAGATGCAGCAAAAGCATTTGACAAAATCTAATACCCATTCATGATAAAAACGCTACAGAAAATTAGAATAGAAGGTCTTTATCTCAACCTGATTAAGGCTATCTATGGAAAACCAACAGCCAACATCGTACTAAATGGTCAAAAACTGAAAACTTTCATGCTAAAATCAGGAACAAAACAAGGATGCCCACTATCACCACTCCTGTTTAATATTGTTCTGGAAACATTAGCCATAGCAATTAGAAAAGAGAAAGAAATAAAAGGAATTATGATAGGAAAGGAAGAAGTGAAACTGTCATTATTTGCTGATGATATGATACTTTACATAGAAGACCCAAAAAACTCAGTCAAAAGTCTTCTAGACCTAATTGACAGATTCAGTAGAGTAGCTGGATACAAGGTCAACACTCAAAAAACAATAGCCTTCTTATATGCAAATAGCAGACCATTGAGAGAGAAATTCGGGAAATAATTCCTTTTACAATAACATCCAAAAATATGAAATATCTAGGGATCAACCTAACAAGGGAAGGCAAAAGACCTCTACACTGAAAACTACAGCTCTCTGAAAAAGGAGATCAAAGAGGATATAAGCAAATGGAAAGATATCCCTTGTTCCTGGATAGGAAGAACCAATATAGTGAAAATGGCCATACTTCCAAAACTACTATATATATTCAGTGCACTGCCAATTGAAATTCCAATATACTTCACAGAACTAGAGAATACAATCCAAAAATTCATTTGGAAGCAGAAGAAACCTACAATAGCAAAAGCAATTCTAGGCAACAGAGACATGGCTGGGGCTATCACATCCCCAACTTGAAACTATACTACAAAGCTACTGTGATAAAAACACATCATGGTACTGGCAAAGAAACAGACCCAAAGATCAGTGGAATATATTAGAAGATGCAGAAACAACTCCAGACATACTCAGCCACCTCATCTTTGACAAA